TCTCACACTGAGAGTGCCCTGCAGTGGAGACACGAGGAACTGCAGGTCAGTCACACAGCAGGAACTCTTTCTACTGCAGGTCAGAGGTCACGGAGGGGTTGATTATAATATGATGTGTGTGTGTGTGTGCGCGTCAGGGGGCGGAGCTATCTCTGCGGCGGCTCGGCGAGGAGAAATCGGCTCTGCAGCTCCGACTGAAACAGCTGGAGGACGACAACCAGCAGCTGCACACGCACACGCAACACACACAGCTGGAGCTCACACACACTCTGGACACACTGAGCAGGTACACACACACACACACACACACACACACACACACACACACACACTCTGGACACACTGAGCAGGTACACACACACACTCACACACACGCACACACACACTCACGCACACACACACACACACACTCTCACACACTCACACACACACACACACACACGAACACACACACACACACCACACACACACACACACACACACACACACTCTCACACACTCACATACACTCTCACACACTTATTTCAAAATAAAACAGGAAGCTGTGTGTGTGTGTGTGTGTGTGTGTGTGTGTGTGTGTGTGTGTGTGTGTGTGTCTCTCTCAGGGAGCGTGAGACGTCGTCCTCGCTGCGTCTGAAGGTGGAGGAGGTGGAGAGGAGGGAGGAGGAGGTGAAGAGAGAGAACGACAGGCTGAGGAGGGAGAGAGACAGACATGAGGAGAGAAACAGACAGCTGGAGACAGAGACACACAGACGGTTCGTCAGACGTCTTCATTATTGATTATTGTTCACAGCTGATTAAAAGCTGTAATGTTGCTTATAAACTGTTATTATATCTTTATATAAAGTTATTGTTTTAATTGTTTAATCCATTCACTTTCTTCTGCTTTATCCAGGCTGTGTTTAATGATGAGTCAACAGAATAACATCATTTATTCATCTGTGATATAAATGTCAATACATTAATACAGATGCTGAATAATTGTAGTTTGTCATTATATTGAGTTTTAACCTTTATTCATGATAAAAAGTGAACCTTATTGTTATTTCTGTGTTCTCTCTGGTGAACCAGTATAACGCCTCCTGCAGCTCCAGTTCGCTCTCAGAAAGTGAAGCGATGTCTCGCTGCAGTTTAATCAGATGTTGAACTGGTTTTGTTTCAGAGTTGAAACTGAGCTGCTGGAGAACGTCCAGCTGACTGAGAGAGAGACTCTGCACCGTTTGGAGATCCACACTCTGAAGGTGAAACATCCATTCTTCCTTTCATTCTTCTTCCTGTGAATCTTTCTCATGCTGATCTTTGTCCTCCTGTAGGGGGCGCTGGAGAGGCAGCAGTTGGACGGACAGAGAGCAGAAGAAGAGGCTGCAGACGCCAGAGACGCCCTGCAGAAGGTTTAATAAAATATTCTGAACGCAGCCTCTTCCTCTCTTTATAAACTACTGTATATAATGACTGTGTCTCCCTCTGTCTCCCCCCTGCAGTCCAGGGAGTGTGTGTTGCATCTCTCGTCCTCTGAGTGTGTGTTGAAGCGGGAGGTGGAGGAAGGGCGGGACGCTCTGGACAAAATGGCCGCCCTGACATCGGCTCTGGCCTCAGACAAGAGAGACCTGAACAAACAGCTGCTTCAGGTACCACTGCTCGCCCTACCACTCTCTCTCTCTCTGTGTGTCAGTGCCTGGCTCAGAGGCTCCTGGGCAGTTCATCACAATGTTTATATGTGTGTGTGTGTGTGTGTGTGTGTGTGTTTGCAGCTGGAGTGTGAGCTGTCAGACAGCCAATCACAGCTGCAGGCTCTGAGGTCAGAGGTCAGTTCTCTGCAGAGGGAGGTCAAAACCCTCAAACTGGACTGCAGCCAGCTCAGGTGAGTTTAGTTTCCACAACACGCTTGTACCCGAACCCTTAATCCCAAATATAAACCTTTAATCCAGAATATAAACCTTTAATCCAGAATATAAACCTTTAATCCCAAAAACAAACCTTTAATCCAGAATATAATTTTTTAATCCAGAATATAAACCTTTAATCCAGTATATAAACACTTAAATCCAGAATATAAACCCTTTACTCCAGAATATGAACACTTTAATCCAGAATATAAACACTTTAGTCCAGAATATAAACCTTTAATCCAGAATATAAACACTTAAATCCAGAATATATACCTTTAATCCAGAATATAAACCTTTAATCCAGAATATAAACACTTAAATCCAGAATATAAACACTTAAATCCAGAATATGAACACTTTAATCCAGAATATATACCTTTAATCCAGAATATAATTTTTTAATCCAGAATATAAATGTTTAATCCAGAATATAAACATTTAATCCAGAATATAAACACTTTAATCCAGAATATAAACACTTAAATCCAGATTATAAACCTTTAATCCCAAATATAAACCTTTAATCCAGAATATAAACACTTAAATCCAGATTATAAACCTTTAATCCCAAATATAAACCTTTAATCCAGAATATAAACCTTTAATCCACAATATAAACTTTTAATCCAGAATATAAACACTTAAATCCAGAATATAAACACTTAAATCCAGAATATAAACACTTAAATCCAGAATATGAACACTTAAATCCAGAATATATACCTTTAATCCAGAATATAATTTTTTAATCCAGAATATAAATGTTTAATCCAGAATATAAACATTTAATCCAGAATATAAACACTTTAATCCAGAATATAAACACTTAAATCCAGATTATAAACCTTTAATCCCAAATATAAACCTTTAATCCAGAATATAAACACTTAAATCCAGATTATAAACCTTTAATCCCAAATATAAACCTTTAATCCAGAATATAAACCTTTAATCCACAATATAAACTTTTAATCCAGAATATAAACACTTAAATCCAGAATATAAACACTTAAATCCAGAATATGAACACTTTAATCCAGAATATATACCTTTAATCCAGAATATAATTTTTTAATCCAGAATATAAATGTTTAATCCAGAATATAAACATTTAATCCAGAATATAAACACTTTAATCCAGAATATAAACACTTAAATCCAGATTATGAACCTTTAATCCCAAATATAAACCTTTAATCCAGAATATAAACACTTAAATCCAGATTATAAACCTTTAATCCCAAATATAAACCTTTAATCCAGAATATAAACACTTAAATCCAGATTATAAACCTTTAATCCCAAATATAAACCTTTAATCCAGAATATAATTTTTTAATCCAGAATATATACCTTTAATCCAGAATATAAACTTTTAATCCAGAATATAAACCTTTAATCCAGAATATAAACCTTTAATCCAGAATACAAACTTTTAATCCAGAATATAATTTTTTAATCCAGAATATAAACCTTTAATCCAGAATACAAACCTTTAATCCAGAATATAATTTTTTAATCCAGAAAATAAACCTTTAATCTAGAATCTTAACTTTTAATCCAGAATATAAACACTTAAATCCAGAATATGAACACTTTAATCCAGAATATATACCTTTAATCCAGAATATAATTTTTAATCCAGAATATAAATGTTTAAACCAGAATATAAACCTTTAATCCCAAATATAAACCTTTAATCCAGAATATAAACACTTTACTCCAGAATATGAACACTTTAATCCAGAATATAAACACTTTAATCCAGAATATAAACCTTTAATCCAGAATATAAACCCTTAAATCCAGAATATAAACACTTTAATCCAGAATATAAACACTTTAATCCAGAATATGAACACTTTAATCCAGAATATAAACCCTTAAATCCAGAATATAAACACTTTAATCCAGAATATAAACACTTTAATCCTCAGTAATGTTTCCTGTCCTGTTCAGAGTGCAGAGAGAGGTGGAGGCCAACATCGTCCGTCAGCTGAGAGAAAGAGAGACAGAGACGGAGAGATTAATGGAGGGGAATGAGAGACAGTTGGTGCTCCTCACGGAGGAGAGAGAGAGGGATGGGGGTCAGCTGGAGGAGGTAAAGAGGAGGAGGTGCCAGTCATGTGACGGTGATACACCTGTATGGTGTGTTATATATGATGTGTGTGTGTGTGTGGTCCTCAGCTGTCCTCCCAGCATGCCTCAGTTTGCGGGGAGCTGAAGGAGGTGCAGGAGCAGCTGCGCCAGGCGGTGGAGGAGGTGAGGAGGAGAGACAGGCAGCAGGAGGAGCAGCAGAGGGAGAACAGGAGGTTGCAGGAGGAGCAGGACAGTGTGCAGAGACACAGGCAGCAGCTGGAGGAGGAGCTGCAGGAGCTCAGGTACAGACTCACCTGAACAACAGTTTATTATCACAATGCTAGTTTCTGTTGACGCATTAATGGTAAAACCTATTATGTGTTAGCATCGAGCTAACAGTTATTTAATATATAACATATACTGTACACTCTCTCTCTCTCTCTCTCTCTCTCTCTCTCTCTCTCTGGTGTGCAGGTCTCTGTCTATGTCTCTCCACCAGCAGCTCAGCCAGCAGCAGAAGCAGCTCTCACAGGCAGAAGTGGACAGATGTCAGCTGACCACACACATACACACTCTGCAGCAGTCCAAAGAAACCCTGCAGGGTCAGTATCACATCTGGACTGCATCTGGACTGCATCTGGACTGCAGGAGGCGCTGTGGTTGCTCCTTTAATATCAGTAATGTTATTAATATGAATATCTGTTTCCTGTCTGAAGGGGAGATCCTGTGTCTGAGAGGAGAGCTGGAGGGAGCATCGGCCGGGAGAGAAGACGAGAGAGGGAGGAGCAGCGAGGAGGAGAGGGAGACGCTGATGGAGGAGATGGAGAAGCTGTTGGAGGAGCTGAGGAGGAGGAGGGAAGAAGAAGAAGAGGAGTGGAGGGAGGAGAGGGAGGCCTGGCAGAGAGAGAGGGAGGCCCTGAGCGCGGAGCTGGGGACAAGGGATGGAGAGGTGGAGGCACTGAGGAGGCGCCTAGAGGGACTCACGGAGGAGAAGGAGGAGAGACAAAGAGAGGTGGAGAGACTGACGGAGGAAGTGACGGAGAGGGAGGCGCAAATCAGCCGCATGGTGGAGGAGATACAGCTGACGGAGAGACTGCAGGAGGAGGTGAAGAGGACGAAGATCAGGATGAGAGAGGAGGAGGTGAAGAGAGAGGAGGAGATCGAGGCGCTCTGTGACCGGATGGAGAGATTGGAAAGAGAGAAGGAGGAGAGAAAGGAGGAGATGGACAGACTGAGGAGCAAGTCAGAGAAGGAGGTGGAGAGATGGAGGAAGAGGGTGGAGGAGGTAGAGGAGGAGAATAATAGACTGAGAAAAGAAACCTCCAAACTTAAGGAGGACAGAGAGGAGGATAAACTGCAGGACGAAGAGGACGAAAGGAGGAGGAGAAGGGAGGAGGAGGTGGACAGACTGAGGAGCGAGTCAGAGAAGGAGGTGGAGCGATGGAGAAAGAGGGTGGAGGAGGTGGAAGAGGAGGTTAACAGATTAAGAAAAGAAACCTCCAAACTAGAGGAGGAAAGGAGAGAGAAGGAGAAACTGCAAGACAAGGAGTTGGAAATGAGGAGGAGAAGGGAGGAGGAGGTGGAACGACTGAGGAGTGAAGCGAGGATAGCGGAAGAGGAGGAGGACAGACTGCTGGAGAAGGTGGGGGAGGTGGAGCTCTTGAGGGTGAGGCTGAATGTGGCCACGGAGGAGTGTGAGGAGATGAAGGAGGAGGTGGAGCGGAGGGAGCGCAGCCTGGAGCGACAGATGAGCGCCGTGAGGGAGAGGGAGGAGGAGGTAGAGGAGCTGAAGGAGCGACTGAGACTGGTAACAGAGCGAGAGGAGGAGGGAGCGAGGGAGCATCAGGAGGCGAACGACAAACTGAAGCAGAAGGAGGCGAAGGTGGAGCAGCTGGAGGAGCTGCTGAAAGAAACCCGGGTGCTCCTTCACAAAGAGAGGAAGGAGGGAGGAGAAAAAGACAACAGGATCTCCTCCCTGGCCAGGGAGCTGCAGGAGGCTCAGGCCGAAAGCGAGGGAGCGAGGAGGAGAGCCAGAGTGAAGGAGGAGGTCCAGGACCGCCTTGAGGAGGAGGTGAAGGAGTGGAGGGAGAAGGCGGAGCTGAGCGTGAGAGAGGCAGCAAAGCTCAGCCATATCCTGAAGGAGCGAGAGGAGGAGGCGCAGCAGCTGAGAGACACTCTGGAGGAGAAAGAAGAGGAGGGGAGAGAGAGGGAGGTGCTGAGGAGAACAGAGCTGGAGAGGAGGCGGAGGCTGGAAGAGAAAGTGAGGGAGGTGGAGGAGGAGCGGGAGGAAGAAAGGGAAGCACTGAGGAGAGCCAGGGAGGAAAGGAGGAGGTTGGAGGACAGATGGGAAGAGATGGAACAGGAGGTGCAGAAGCTGAGGAGCACAGAGGAGGAAAAGAGGAGGCTAGAAGATAAACTGGTGGAGACAGAGGAGGGAAGGAAGGGAGAGGAGGAGGTGCTGAGGGGGGTGAGGGAGGACAAGAGGAGGCTGGAGGAGGAGCTAATAGAGAGGGAGAAAGAAATGGAGGAACAGAGGGAGATACTGAGGAGTAAAGAGGAGGAGAAAAGGAGACTAGAGGATGAACTGAGGGAGTTGAAAGAGGAGCGAGGGAGACTAATGGAGGCTGAGAGAGGTCAGCACCTCCTGTTGGAGGAGAAAGGGAGGTCCAGAGAGAGAGAGGAGGCAGGACTGTCTATGGAGCTGAGGAGGAGGGAGAGGGAGGTGACAGCGCTCAGAGAGGAGGTACAGAGGGAGAGGGATAAGACACAGGAGGAGCTGAGGAGGAGGAGAGAGGAGGTGTCTGTACTTAGAGAGGAGGTATTAAGGGAACAAAGGAAGAAGGAGGAGGCACAGGAGGAGTTAACAAAGAGGAGAGAAGAGGTGACAGCTCTAGGAGAGGAGATGCAGAATGAGCGGAGGAGCAGGGAGGAGGCCCAGGAGGAGCTGAGGCAGAGGGAGGAGGTACAGGAGGAGCTGAGGAGGAGCGAGAGGGAAGTGTCGGTACTTAGAGAGGAGGTACAAAAGGAACAAAGGGAGAAGGAGGAGATGCATGAGGAGCTGATGAAGAGGAGAGAAGAGGTGACAGCTCTCAGAGAGGAGGTGCAGAATGAGCGGAGGAGCAGGGCAGAGGTCCAGGAGGAGCTGAGGCAGAGGGAGGAGGTACAGGAGGAGCTGAGGAGGAGCGAGAGGGAAGTGTCGGTACTTAGAGAGGAGGTACAAAAGGAACAAAGGGAGAAGGAGGAGATGCATGAGGAGCTGATGAAGAGGAGAGAAGAGGTGACAGCTCTCAGAGAGGAGGTGCAGAATGAACGGAGGAGCAGGGCAGAGGTCCAGGAGGAGCTGAGGCAGAGGGAGGAGGTACAGGAGGAGCTGAGGAGGAGCCAGAGGGAAGTGTCGGTACTTAGAGAGGAGGTACAAAAGGAACAAAGGGAGAAGGAGGAGATGCATGAGGAGCTGATGAAGAGGAGAGAAGAGGTGACAGCTCTCAGAGAGGAGGTGCAGAATGAGCGGAGGCAGAGGGGGAAGCTACAGGATGAGCTGAGGAGGACCAAGAATGAGCTGACAGTCGTCACAGAGGAGGTGCAGAAGGAAGAGCAGGAGCACGTACAGGAGAAGTTAATGAGGACAGAGAAGGAGGTGACGGCTCTCAGAGAGGAGGTGAAAAGGGTACAAAGGGATAAGAAGGAGGCACAGGAGGAGTTAATAAAGGGGAGAGAAGAGGTGACAGCTCTCAGAGAGGAGGTGCAGAATGAGTGGAGGCAGATGGAGGAGATGCAGGAGGAGCTGAGAAGGACCAAGAACGAGCTGACAGTCCTTACTGGGGAGGTGCAGAAGGAGGAAAGGGAGAAGGAAGAGGTACAGGAGAAGTTAATTAGGACAGAAAAAGAGGTGACGGCTCTCAGAGAGGAGGTGCAGAAGGAGGAGCTGGAGCAGGAGCAGGTACAGGAGAACTAATGCTAATGCTAATGCTAGCTGAACCACAGCAGAATATTAGCATGTTGACATTTAGCTTGTAGCGCTGCGTGTTAGCGTGTTAGCATGTGAACGGTCTGTTGCAGGTGTCTGATCTGAGCCGCTGCAGGGAGCGAGCGAGGCAGGAGGTGAAGGAGAAGGAGGAGGAGAAGCAGCAGATGAGGGAGGGTCTGAGGGCGGCGCTGGAGGAGATGACCAAGCTGAAACTGCTCCTGCAGGTACAGCGCCTCCTGCTGGAGCTCTGAGAGAGGAGCTGTTAGTGGATCCATTAGATCAGTTTGTTTACTCCTCCTCATTTTCCACCTCCTGCTGTTTAGGAGAGCCACACAGAGGGGGAGCGCCTGAGGAGCGCTTTGAAGGAGAAGAAAGAGGAGGTGGAGAGGTTCAGAGAGGAGAACCTGCGGACAGCGAGGGAGGAGGTGATACGAGACAGCGAGGAGGTGGAGAAGGAGAGAGGAGAGGTGGAGGAGCTGAGAGCCAGAGCCAAGGCTCTGGAGAGGAGGAGGAGGGAGATGATGGAGGAGCTAGCGGAGGCTCGACAGGCGAAGGAGAAGGCGGAGGAGCAGTGGAGGAGCAAAGTGGAAGAGATGGAGGAGGAGCAGGAGGCGAAGCTGAAGGCTCTGTTGAGAGAAATCCAGACGCTGAAGGAGAGGGAGGAGGAGACACTGAAGGAGTGGAGGTCCAGGGTGGAGGAGGCGAGGAGGGAGGTGGAGGAGCAGAAAACACGGCTCTCCTCACTGACTGCTGAGAAAGAGGAGGAGAGAGAGGAGATGGACGGACAGAAGAGGAGAAACCAAGAGACAGACGACGAGGAGAGAGGAGGAGGAGAGGTGAGTGGGAGGAGGAGGGGAGGAGAGGTAAGTGGGAGGAGGAGGAGAGGTGAGTGGGAGGAGGAGGGGAGGAGAGGTAAGTGGGAGGAGGAGGAGAGGTGAGTGGGAGGAGGAGGAGGATTTTCTGTCCATCAAATATAAGAAAAACACCTTCTAATGTTTAATTATTGTTTCCTAAGGAGGAGCAGGAGGAGAAAGAAGAGATGAAGAGGCTGCTGAGGGAGAGAGAAGCTGAGGTAAAAGCAGTAATGAACTCCCTCCACAGTTTATGAGATATATATTGTATATTATGGGATATATTAATATTAATATATAAAAACATTAGGAACAGCTTGTTTACAGACAGTAATGTTGTTGTTGTTGTTGTTGTTGTTGTTGTTGTTGTTGTGCTGAAGGTGTACGCTCTGACTCAGAGGACAGAGGAGTTGGAGAAGGACCGGGATCGAGTCCGATTGGCTCTGGAGCAAACTGAGGCTGCTATGATTGGCTATCGGGAGAGAGCCCACCAACAGGAGCAGAGCGCGGGGGCGGGGCCTAACTCAGAGCAGGTCAGTGCGTCTCTGCTGACTCCTCATGTTCATCCTCCTCCTCTGTCTGTCTGTCTGTCTCTCTGACTGACTGTCTGTCTGCAGGCGGTGGCAGACAGACTCGGGGTCCTGCAGCGTCTGGTGGCTGAACTGGAGCTGGAACAGAAACAACTGAAGAAGAAAATCTCTCATCAGGAAAATCAGAAAGAAAAACTGAAGAGAGACAGAAACACTCTGAGAGACACACTGAGACAGGTAGTCCATAAAGACACAGTGTATACTGATCAATAATCAATAAAGATACAGTGTATACTGATCAATAATCAATAAAGATACAGTGTATACTGATCAATTATCAATAAAGACACAGTGTATACTGATCAATAATCAATAAAGACACAGTGTATACTGATCAATAATCAATAAAGATACAGTGTATACTGATCAATAATCAATAAAGACACAGTGTATACTGATCAATTATCAATAAAGACACAGTGTATACTGATCAATTATCAATAAAGACACAGTGTATACTGATCAACCTCCACTGTCTCTGTGTGTTTGTTGTTGTTGTTGTTGTTGTTGTCTCAGGTGGAGGAGGAGCGTTGGAGCTTCAGACAGCAGCTGACTGACAGCAGATCCGCAGACACCACAGAAGAAGAAGAACGCCTGAAGAGCAGAGTGAAGGAGCTGGAGGACCAGGTGAGCTCACCACAGAAGAAGAGCGTCAGCTGTTATTGAGCCGTCAGGTGGGTGCTGATGATGTCACTGTCTCCTCCCCTCAGGTGAGTCAGCTGCGGCTCTCATTGGCTGTCGACCAGCAGCAGAGGGCGGAGTTTATCCAGCAGTCCTCCAGGAACAGCCAATGGCTGCTCTCTCTGAGGCACGACCTCGCCGACTCGCTGGACGCCGTCACGCGCCGTCCGGTCCCGTCCGTCCTGGAGACCGAGACGCAGCGATTGGACCGCAGCCTGAGGGAGGAGGAGCTTAGGATGTCCCTGAGCCAATCGTAACGCCTGAAAGATAAAAACTGTGAACTGACCAAAACCATCTGCAGCCTGTCGCCATGGAAACGGCTCAGGTGTTAGAGAGCTGCCTTGTGATTGGCTGTTGGGGTCTGAACAGAAACTGAACACAGTTATTAAAGTTACTGCACTCACAGACCAGCTCGGATAAGCTGATTGATTACTGACACATTATTGATCCGTTCTGTGTCCACCAAATGTTTGCGGACTTATTTATTGTCTGTTTGTATTTATATTGTATTTTAATTTCTGTCAGACCTCTGAGCCACAATGCACTACATTTCCCATGATCCTTCGGTCTGAGCTTATGTGAGGGTCAGAGGTCACAATGTGTGAAGTTCAATAAAAAACAAAGTTTTAATTGTAAGGATTCTTCTTCTTATTATTTTAGTAACAAATGAATCTCATATTTGGAGACTTTCCCGTGCTCGAAAACTCATGAAACCCGGCGCACATGTCAGTCGTGGCGACTGTAGTATTTTCTTGGGGTCCACTATGAACATGGCAAAATAACATAATAATAAACTGTACCATCCGGGGACCCTTTCACCGATATGCATATAAATCGGCACACATGTAGATCTTATCCAGATGAACAAAAAAAGGAAAGAGGGATTTGTCATAATGAATTGAATTGAATTAATGCCATATCTCAGTTTGATCACTTTTATATTTGATGATTGATTTCCTCACTACAGCTGCTCCACAAGTTCACCTCTTTAACACAAGGGATTTCTGATATCAGTCCTTAAAGCTGCAGATTCCTCTCAAATCATTCAGACTTTCTCTCATTTCAAACAACTTTTGGACTCTTTCAGCTCGTCATTAGTTTCTGACTTTATACCTGATCTGTGCTGTTCATTTAACAAACAGCTGAGTTGGTTCTTGATCAGTAGTTTAGTTTACTCTTCTTATGTCTCTCTGTTCAAATGTAAAAATCTGATTAGTGTTTGTTTTATATGAGTTTCTCCAAACGAGCACACAGTCAGTGATGTATGGAAGTAGAAGTGAACAATACAAAGTGGAGAATGAAGCTGGATTTAACTAATCCTTCATTTTATACAGTGATGGCTCCATTTGGACAGTTTTGCTTTGACATCATTTAGATGTGGTTTCCAGCATCATTTATTATCTAGAATCATCCCAAAACTTTGATTTCTTTTGATTTCAACCTGACTTATCAAAGTCCACGATGACCAAAGATGATGAATTTAGTTTGTTCCAATCAAAGCCACTCTTTACACCTTGGAACTATTTTTACTCAGATGCTGAATTTGATCCTGAAAGACTCTTGTTTGACATTTGAACACATTGTTTCTTCACAGAAACAAAAGTTTTAAGACAACAAAGTTCAGTTTTAGACTCAAAGTTGAATATTTGTTCACACTTTAATATTTGAGTCATAAAAACACTTTCCCTCTAACTGTGCTTTCAAAAAGAAGAAGATTTGAAAAACAAGCAGCCACATTTGATCCTAAAAATGTTCATTTTTCTCAGAGTTATGGAAGAAGATCAATTCTTTCTATCATTTCTTTCATCTCTACGTCTGCAGGCTGCACATTACCCTCACACATGATCCCTTCATCCCAGCATCCTTTGCTCTTCTCTTCCTTCAGCCTCCTCTTCCTCCTCTATTACAGTAAACACATCAGGTTGGTACTAACTAACATCAGCTGTGTGTGATCCTGTACAGACTGAACTATCTGGTCAACAGTGAGAAGTTTGTCTCTCCCTCCTACAGAGGACACAGAGACACTGAGGAACCAGAGCTGAACCAGAACCAGAACCCAGGATAAAGAGGTTCAGTGAATGTGGTGTTGAAGGTGTGGAGGTGGATCAGTGTGTCAGAGGAGACTGTGTAGAAGGACAGAGTGCCAGCAGGACAGTCCACATACACTGCTACTCTAGAGGAGGAGGAGGAGGAGATGGACGTTTCTCTGTTATTGTGCCAGACAGAGTAACCATCATCATCAGAGCAGAACAGACTCCAGGACTGATCATTCCTTCCAAACACACAGTCTCTACTGTATCCTCTCCTCCTGATTCCTCTGTAACTCACTGATATAGAAACCTCTCCTCTCCACTCGACCTCCCAGTAACAGCGACCAGTCAGACCATTTGTACACAGCAGCTGAGACCAGTAGTCAAATCTGTCTGGATGATCAGGATATGACTGATCCTCCTCCATTAATGTCATCTTCCTGTTGTTGTCAGACAGTTTGATCTTCCTGTGTACTGTGTTTGTGTCGACTGTGAGTTCACAGGAATCTGATGGAGAGAACAAGACACAATACAGCTGCAGTTATTGATCTATCATCTGATCATTGATTGACACTTTGATGATGACATCAGAGCTGTGAATGAGTGATGTCACAGTGTGAAGATGGTTGAATGTGTGCTGCTTTGTTTTCACACTTACACTTCCTCAGACCTGGTCTCAACCATCGGACTCCAGCAGGCTCCACCCTGAAAGGAGGAGGGGGGTCAGAGCAGCATGGAAACATGGACATTACATCGCTCTCATACACAGAGCTTATTCTCTACAAATGGACTTACATCTTCACATGGAGCACTTATTATTAATCAGCTGATAGTCTTTCAGTTCAGTGGAGCTTCTTCTGATTGGCCGATGGCTACAGCTCATTGTTTTCACTTATTGATGATATTAGGGCTGCAACAACTAATCGATTAAATCGATTATAAAAATAGTTGGCGATTAATTTAGTCATCGATTCGTTGGATCTATGTTATGTGCATGCGCTGAATGCGCTGCGGCAACGTCTCAGGTGGTGGCAGTAAGTTGTTTTTGGTCGCAATAGGCATTCACGAGTTCAGCACGCCAGCTCTTTTGTTTGAGTATCCCTCTGTTGCAGCTCGGAGCTGATAATGTGTCAGTCTCCGGCAGATTTGACACTGTTTTGATGGAGAAAACGCACGGTTACCAATTTCGAAATAAACGTAACGGACAGAAATATATCCGGTTCGTTTCATAATGGATCAATGTAGCAGGGCCACCAATAAAGCTATTTAAATCTATTTAGGTTGGAGAGACACTCTAGTATAACTAACATTATGGAGTTGCTGGAATATATCTTGCTATTATTCAGAGGCAGTCAAAAGTGAATCCTTTATTACTTTACAACAGAAACTTGAAAAAGATCTGATCCAGTTCTGATCTGATTAGTTGTTTGAAAGAACATGGTACAAGAAGACCAGTACGCTGTTTTTTGAATAAAATACTGGAAAGGATAGAAATTTAGTTTTTGTCTTTTTATCCGATTAATAAACGATTAATCAAAGTAATAATCGATGATCAAATTAGTTGTTAGTTGCAGCCCTAGATGATATATTATTATCAGTATTATATTTGTTACGTGTGCATGTTTTGCCTCTGCTCTCTTGTGTCCTGCTCCAGGTACCGCCCTCCCCATCTGACTGGTCAGGCACACCTGCAGCACCACAGCAATCAGGTGGATTGCTATAAAGCTGCAGGGACGAGAGCAGATGGGGCCAGTGGGCAAAGGTGCCAGATAGTGTTGTGGTGCTGTCGGTCGTGAATCAGAGCTGTTTGGTGCTCTTCATGTTATTATTACTCCCTCAGTGGAGGGATAGTGTTATCCATAGTTATTGGTTGGATCATTGGTTTGTTTAGTTTAAATGTTTTTTCACTTCCTTTCTAATTTGTACTTCATCTTTCTATTGTGCTTCTATTGTGTCATCTATTTACTCTGTTAATCTCTTCCTCTCTCTTTCTGCACTCATTCATGTCCCATTAATGCATGTTACTAACTTCACTTCTTCCCCAGAATTCTTGTGCTTTTCTCGTCTTGCAGGTTCTCATTGATCCTGGTGGAGCCTCCTGTCATGGTCCTGTTTGACTGTGCACCTGTCTGGCTGTCTGTCTCTGTCTCTGTCTCTGTCTCTCTCTCTCTCTCTCTCTCTCTCTGTCTCTCTCTCTCTCTCTCTCTCTCTCTCACCCCAACTGGTCGAGGCAGACGACCACCCACCTAGAGCCGAAGGATCGAACAGAAACTAACATTCATACACCGATGCACGGCATCGGGAGCAATTTGGGGTTCAGTATCTTGCTCAAGAATACTTCGACATGTGGCACCAGGAGCCGGGGATCGAATACACAACCTTCCGATTAACGACCCGCTCTGCCTCTGAGCCACAGCCCCCCCTTTCCCCTGGACACCACAAATGGGGACGTAACAATATTGATGATGATCATAAAGTTCAGACTCAGTTTCCTCTACCACTCAGTCAGTAAATGAAATGATTAAACCTGCATCAACTGATTTCTTTGTCCACTTGGGGTTCAGATTATAAAGTAGTTGTGTCTAATGTAACCAGGTTGAAAGTATATCTTTATTTTGTTTGTTTGAAACAAAGTCCTGACAAATATCGAAGAATCTGTGTTTGATGAAGTTTATAACATGTTTTCTACATTTGAACTGAAGTGTTAATACCTGTAATGTCACTTTAAGAGTCTGTGCTTTGCTAACTAGTTCACACTGTGAACAGATTAGAGCTCAAACTGGCCGTGTGATCAGGTCTCTGTCCTCTAAAGCTGTTCTAGTCAATGAATTAATATCAGATTATGATATTGATTTACTGTCTTACAGAGACCTGGCTGTGCCACGAAGACTATGTTAGCCTAAATGAATATGAATATAGTTACTATTATAATTGTCCATTGTTGTTGTCATTGTCATCATTTCCTTTATGTTCATAATCATCATCAGTCATTTCAATTAGTAGAGTTGCTGAGCACCTTTATCTCTAACCTTCTCTACCATCCATCCTCTCTGTCTGTCTCTCTGTCTGTCTGTCTGTCTGTCTGTCTGTCTGTGTGTCTCTCTCTTTCTCTCTTTCTCTCTCTCTCTCTCTCTCTGTCATGGCAGAAAAGGCAGTTTTTCCTTGCCCTTGTCTCCAAGGTCTGGCTCATGGTGGTACTGTTGGGTCTCTGTAAATAATGTTATAAAGAGTTCGGTCTAGACCTGCTCTATTTGAAAAGTGTCCTGAGATAACTTCTGTTATGAATTGGCGCTAGTAGTTTAGGTAATGCCTTTAGTTTTCCTGGACTAAAAGGTAAAACACGCTGATGGCAGATGACATCCATCAAAATATCCCAAACTATTTATGATATGAGCCCACAAACCTGCAGCGTGACAACACTGACAAATATCAACCCGCCATGATGCTCAGCAACCCATCAGGATAAACCACTGTCCTATTTTCCTATTTTCCATTGTTAAAACAAGACATCGGTCCACAAAAACACAAATTTAATCACCTTTCCTCTGTCACCTGACTACTACTACTATATTGATCCACCTCATACCTGAGAGTGTCCAGTCTCCAGTGTGGATCCTCCAGTCCAGCAGACAGCTTTGTTGCTGAGTCTCCTGGATGATTGTAGCTCAGGTCCAGCTCTCTCAGATGGGAGGGGTTGGAGCTCAGAGCTGAGACCAGAGAAGCACAACCTTCCTCTGTGATCAGACAGCCTGACAGCCTGCAAACACACAGAACAACACATTACATAATAAACATGTTCAAGGAAAGAGACACAAACTAACTAAACAAACAAGGTTTTGAGACAATGTTAGGAAGATTACAATTGTATCCATCAACATAATTCAGGTTTAAAGTGGTTATCAGTTGAACAGGTTGACGAATCCTGACCTGAGAGTTTCCACTTTACAGTGTGGACTCTTCAGTCCAGCCGACAGCAGCTTCAGTCCTGAATCCTGCAGGTCGTTGTTACTCAGGTCCAGCTCTCTCAGACTAGAGGACTGGGAGCTGAGAACTGAAGACAGAGCTTCACAGCTTCTCTCTGAGAGGTTACAGTCACTCAGTCTGAAGAAAAATTAGTAATGAAGAAGTTTGAACATTTGTTCCTCATCACTTTAATATAATGTTCTTAATGTATCTAGAAATCAATCCACTTACAGAGCTTTGTTGGAGGCTTTGACCACTGGCAGCAGCCTCAGAAGAACCTCCTCTGAAGCAGAGTATTTCTTCAGGTCAAACACATCCAGATCTTTTCCTGATGACAGTAAGATGAAGCCCAGAGCTGACCACTGAGCAGGAGACAGTTTATCTGTGGAGAGACTTCCTGAACTCAGGGACTGTTGGATCTCCTCCACTAGAGAACGATCATTCAGTTCATTCAGACAGTGGAACAGATTGATGCTTCTCTCTGCAGAGGGAGTCTCTTCGATCTTCTTCTTGATGTAGTGGACTGTTTCCTGATTGGTCTGTGGGCTACTTCCTGTCTGTGTCAGCAGACCTTGTAGGAGATTCTGATTGGTCTGCAGTGAAAGACCCAGGAGGAAGCGGAGGAACAAGTCCAGGTGTCCTTGTTGACTCTCTAAGGCCTTGTCCACAGCACTCAGGGAGAGATTTGTTAGTTTAGGTTTGTCTCTGATGACTTTAGACAACCGGGATGTTGTTTGTTGTTCTGCCAGCAGATTGACTCCAGAGCTGATGAATGTCAGATGGACATGAAGAGCAGCCAGAAACTCCTGAACACTCAGATGGACAAAGCAGAAGACCTTGTCCTGGTACAGTCCTCTCTCCTCTTTAAAGATCTGTGTGAACACTCCTGAGTACACTGAGGCTGCTCTGATATCGATGCCACACTCTGTCAGGTCTGATTCATAGAAGATCAGGTTGCCTTTCTGCAGCTGCTCAAAAGCCAGTTTTCCCAGAGACTCAATCATCTTCCTGCTCTCTGGACTCCAGTGTGGATCTGTCTCAGCTCCTCCATCATATTTGATCTTCTTCACTTTGGACTGAACCACCAGAAAGTGAATGTACATCTCAGTCAGGGTCTTGGGCAGCTCTCCTCCCTCTCTGGTCTTCAACACATCCTCCAGAACTGTAGCAGTGATCCAGCAGAAGACTGGGATGTGGCACATGATGTGGACGCTTCGTGATGTCTTGATGTGGGAGATGATTCTGTTGACCTGCTTCTTGTTTCTGAACCTCTTCCTGAAGTACTCCTCTTTCTGTGGGTCAGTGAACCCTCTGACCTCTGTCACTATGTTAACACACCAAGGAGGGATCTGATTGGCTGCTGCAGGTCGTGAGGTTATCCAGAGGCGAGCAGAGGGAAGCAGGTTCCCCCTGATGAGGTTTGTCAGCAGCACATCCACTGAGGTTGACTCTGTAACATCAGTCAGGATCTCAGTGTTGTGGAAGTCCAGAGGAAGTCGACACTCATCCAGACCGTCAAAGATGAACACAACCTGGAACTCTTCAAACCTGCAGATTCCTGCTTCTTTGGTTTCAGTAAAGAAGTGATGAACAAGTTCCACCAAGCTGTACTTTTTCTCTTTCAGCACATTCAGCTCTCTGAAAGTGAATGGAAATGTGAACTGTATGTCCTGGTTGGCTTTGTCTTCAGCCCAGTCCAGAGTGAACTTCTGTGTTAAGACTGTTTTCCCAATGCCAGCCACTCCCTTTGTCATCACTGTTCTGATTGGTCGATCTCTTCCAGGCGAGAGTTTAAAGAGGTCTTCTTGTCTGATTGTTGTTTCTGGTCTGTCTGGTTTCCTGGATGCTGTTTCAATCTGTCTGACCTCATGTTCATCATTGACCTCTGCAGTCCCTCCCTCTGTGATGTAGAGCTCTGTGTAGATCTGGTTCAGAAGGGTTGGGTTTCCTGCTTTAGCGATCCCCTCAAACACACACTGGAACTTCTTCTTCAGGTTAGATTTAAGTCCACGCTGACAAACTCCAACAATATGTTCTTAATGAAGACACAGAAAATATGATCATTAAGTGATTGATAAACAAAATATGACAATTCCATTCCCCTAAAGCAGAAAAATGTTCAGCTCAGATAGAAAATATCTATTTTGTTTCTCCGTGAGACCAAAGGTTGTGGGGCTAACTTATTGCCAACAGTCATTTCAATGACGGGAAGTAGTTGTTGCCCACATCCAAGCGCACCGATTTTGCTCTGCCGCATTTCACTGTGTTAAACTGCTGGTGGCACACACCTGGCAGCAGTTTTCACTATTGAAAACATGTTTTCTGTAAACCCTTGGGCAGGTAGGTGGCGGTGTGAAACCTTCCTTTAAAACAATACTTCACAAATTGCCATAACATTTACATTTATAAACTACTGAAAAAGAAGTTAGCAACACATCAGCCAGAAGAAAGGGAGTGGTCTCTATTTGTATGTTTAAATAAAATATGATTCTTTTTGAAATTTGTAATACAATGAATTATCATGGCATTGTTATCCATTTTTTTTTATGAGTTGTGACCAATTTTGGCTTTAAAGGATGAGTATGTGAATATATTTTGGTCCGTCTGTTGAGACATCAGTAAACGTCTCGTTTATCCAGCGAGTTAAATCTTTAGAGAAATCCTCTTACTGCTCTGCAGACGGTCAGCCAGCTCCTCCTGCTTCATTCTCCTCAGGAAGTGCACTGTGATCTTCAGAAATGCCTCTCTGCTTCTCTTCCTCTGCTCTTCATCCTCACTGTCCAACACCTCCTCATCCTCCCTTTGACTCTCTAAGCATTCTGGGTAATCTGAACTCAGAACCTTCTGGATCTTCTTCAGCTCGTTCTTCACAAAAGTGACAATGTTGTCCTCCAGCAGCTGGAACAGAATATTATATGAATGACTCAATCAAAGTCAAATCATGGAAGCAGACATCAGATCCATGTTGGACAGAATGACAATCCACTGGTCTAAAAAGTGCAGCATGGAGATTATTGTGAACACAATAGATGTAAAAGTAGTTGTTGTCCATGTACAGACCATAAATATGGAGTCCAGGTGTGTTTGATGCTGCTGGGCAGACTGACCACTGGGAACCTCTGAGCTCTCCTGGTCCACTCTGTGGAGGAATCATGAAGAATGAGCTCACATTATGTCTGTCCACACAGAGACAAACACAAGGTAAAGGTCCATGAAGTGATATTTGGATGTGAACAGTGAATCTGATGACTCCCTGTAGTGGTAAAGGTTTACTAGTCCTGCTGATCCCACTGAGAATCAACAGCTCAGTTTGGTTCAGTCCCAACAGCTCTCACCAACCCCTCCATATAGCTCTCCCTCCCTCACTGTACACTGCTGAAGTGCCCTGGAGCAAGGCACCTAGAGCCTCCAGCTGCTCCAGTGGAGCTGCTCAGTGTCTGCTTGTATCAGACTGGTTGTACTGGGCAGCTCCCAGTGTGAATGTGTTTGACTGTGTGAGTGTGAGGCAGCTGCTGCTGAAAGAGTGTTGATGCTCAGAGAACTTCATCTGAGTCAGTAAAGGTTGAAAAACTGGAGATTTCACAACTGAGAGTCTGATAAAAACACATCAGTTTATTTTACCATCAGTTTGAAATCCTCACCTTTGATCAACAGAGTGGCGGCCATCTTTGAAGGATATAGGACAACCCTTAGAACGACCACTCTTCATGGACACACAGCTGGTTTCAGGTTTTTTCCTCCTGATAGAAAAACAGGATCAGTTCTGCACAGCACCCACAACACACTGAGACAGAACCAGTGACTGAATACACCGACTGTACACAGTGTATTTGTACCCAGAGAGTTCTTGGTTAGGATTTCTATAAAGTCAGTGTTTGATTTAGACATGTTTCACTGTGTATTTTAAAGCTGTATTCAGTGCAGTGTGCAGTATAGGCAGGGAAATGATGGAGTGGAGTGACCATATCGGTCCAATTAGGATAGAAAGAGGAACAGATGGGTAGTCAAAGCAGTGAGTTTCTATAAACTGCTGCAACTATTTGTTCACTGTGAAACTGAGGCTGTTGTCAATTGACACAAACCATTACCGTCCATTAAAAGACATTTTAAAACATTTAAAAATAGAGATTTCATTAAAACACATAATTTTATTTTCACCATCAGTTTGAAATCCTCACCTTTGATCAACAGAGTAGCGGCCATCTTTGAAGTTTATAGGACGACCCATAGAGTCATCACTCTTCATGGACACACAGCTGGGTTCAGGTTCAGGACAGTCTGGTCTCTGATGGATCCTGATAGAAAGAAATTCATTAAAGCTCACATATTCAGAAACATTGTCCCTGAATCAAAGACTTTGTGAAATGATGTATAATTTGAAATGTTTGAATACAGGGCTGGACAATAAGAACAATGTCTTCAATTACTGACATTATGGACGTGTTACTGAACACAATTTACTGATGTCACACACTTCAACACACTGTCTGAATTCCATATAATTAAAGTGAGAGCAGCTACAACATCTAACCAGCGAGCAATCAGCTCCCAGTCCAGTCCAGAAGAGCAGAATGTGGAACTGGTCAGACTGGAATGAATCAGGACAAACATCAGCAGTGAGCAACATGAGGAAGGAAATCTGCTCTGATTGATTCAAACACATGTTACTGTTACATTTCTCATTATGAAGCTGAATGTTTCTCCTGATACTGATTTGAGATCAGATTGTCCAGCCCTGTTTGAATACTGACAACTACGTACTTTAGCTCAGATAAATGTCTTTGTTTCAAATGGAGAATCAAAGCCTTTGTGACATGGAGAAGAGTCATGGACAGTTAGAGATCCTCATCTCACCTCTGAGCTTTGGTCCTTGTGTCATGTTCCCCACACAGAGTGCTTTTAGAGGGAGGGACTCCCTCCTCTCTGTCCTCACACTGATTCATAGCAGAGCCCACACCTTCACACAGACACAGCAACCTGCTGGGAGAGATCACACATTATTTCCCATCATTCCTCTCAGTCACATGACAAACACACACAGCTCTGATTGGAGGGATTAGTCGACTCGCAGCAACGTGAACTCAGAAATGTTGAATCGGTATGGAGAATATTTCAACAGATACTACAGTAGCGGTTTTGGGAGTTGCTGAGGATGATGGATAAAATTTTGACGTTTACAAAATACAAAATTGCACTTTAAATAATTTAATAATATTTGAACTCCAGGTTCACTGATTTTGAGGTTATTTATATGCATAATACATTGAAACTGCAGTTTAGGAAGCTCTTTGTCATTGATGTTCAGATAATTATTTAAATTTCTGCTGGTGTTCTTTTGCTGTGCAGCATTTCTCATTGACCTGTGTCTCTGCAGCTGTGGTTATGCAATAAGCAAATAATCTCAGAATTGGCGAAAAAATATTCAAACATCAGTGACGAATGATGATGAAATGTTGCTAATTATGCTAACTGACCAACATATGTAAGTTAGCATCTGTCAGTGTGTAAATGCTGGAGATGCAGACTGTATATTTCTAACACACAATAGCACAATAGGACTCTACTGGCTGATATAAACGGCTCATTCAGCTCAATACTAAATCCACTCATCTGACAGTTTCCATGCAGAGTAGAAATGTTGTTGGCACTTTGAGCTGCAGTATCTAAGAAATGACATTCACAATGCTCTTTAGTCTGTGGGGTTGGTTGAAGACTAGAGGAATACACTTCATGTTGCTGTTTCACTTCTATTTGACTGACTTTGAAAAGCTCCTCAACAGTTGAAATGTTGCTCTTTTTCCAAGTCTACTATATCCAGTCAGAGCATGCAGTGGCAGCTAGTCCAATAATCCAAAATCAATCCTGTTACCTTGGCAGCTGCTGCTGAATTCACATCCACATCAGCTCCCAGAGACTTTCTACCCATCTGTAGAGGAAACACTGAGAGCAGAGCTGAAAGCATCAGTCCAATCACTGATCAGCACTGAGAACTCATCATCACTCATTCATCCTTTACATCAGTGGTTCCCAACCTGGGCCATCTAATGTCATTGCTGCTTCAACAGCATCAAGTGATCCTCCTGTCGCCTCCACCTCAGAAGAACCCAGTGATGCAGCATCAGGAATAAAGGCGCGCTATCACTTGTTTACAGTTTTTATTTTGTAGGTAGTTAGATTTTATACTTTGTGAGGGCTATTTATATTACATTTCTTGTATTATTTATTTTGTAATTTATTATTTTCTTGTTAACTGTTTTGATGGAAGGGGGGCACCACCTAAAATCTTGCCTACGACGCCAAATTGGTTAGGGCCGGGCCTGCTTTGAACAGTGACACACTGACAGTAAGATGGAGGAAACTCTTCCTCCATGTTGGTTCTCAGTTGACTGTTAGTAGAGTTTTCTGCTCTTTCTGCTGAACTAAACTAACAAGATGAACAAAGAGTCATTGAGGAGTCAAACAGTGAAAAGTGTCTCTTACTAACCTTCACATGGACAGAAGAAGAAGCTGCGACAGGACGAGCTCACAAAGTGAAAGTAAACTGTGGACAGGAAGTGGCTGTGACATCACGGTTGTCAGGGCAACGGAAGGTGTGGGGGAGGGAAGTGAGATAAGACTGAGGGAGTGTCTCCAGAGAGAGACTGGGAGCTTCAACTACATTGTGCTGATAATACTTCTGTAAGTGAGGAACTGTTTTAATGCAGCACTTTAAGTTGTAATGGAGTATTTCTGTAGTGTAGTATCACTACTTTTACTATTCTCAGCTTTGAACTGTTGGTCAGACAACATTGTGTCACTGTGGGCTCTGGATGATTGTAACGGGCATTTCTCAATATTTACATATATTTTAGATTAATGACAATAATATAGTCACAGTCCTTCCTCAATAGTTGAAATCAGCTCCACCTGAGCAGCTACAACAGCCAAATACAGCAGAAATAATAATCTAATGATAGAATATAATAGTGTAACAGCTGTAGTTCCTTACTCCCCCCAGGGTGTCCTGACTCCATCCTGTGTTCCTCTAATCCAAGTCTACAGGAGGACGGACTGGTCCCTGAGGCCTCTGGTTACTGGTTGAGGGTCAGTCCCCATACTGGGGTCAGAGGCCCGACCCTCCACCACAGGGAGCTTTAAACCTGCCGTGTCGTGGGGTCAATCTCTGTGTTCAACCCCAGAGGAGAAGGCCTCCAGCTTGGTTTGGACTCACGTGTTGATCCCACTCTCTATGATCTCTTCTAACCTCTGACACTCTCCAGTTTAAAGGATATCACACATACAGAAAGGCAGTTCTCAACATCTGTGACCTCTGTACAATGAACATATACAGATATCAAATCACAATCAGAATCAGAATTGTGTTTATTGCCAAGTAGGTTTTTATACCTACGAGGAATGTGTCCCGGTGCAATTAGTGCATAAAATATAAAAATACAAATATACAAATCACACAAATTTGCTTTTTTGGGGACAGGGATGATGGTGGATGCTTTGAAGCGGGCTGGCACATGACATGAGTTGTTGAAGATGTCTGTGAACATCTTAGATGTATATCATCTTAAATCAGATTGTACACAGTCCAATCAGCTGATCAGTAATCAATACTCCCATTATTAAAGCATCAATCAACCTGATCAGCCTTCAGCAGTTAGCTAGTGTTTCTGTAGTGGAGACTAAACGTTAACAATGATCCATATCAGCAGTTTGAATCCAACTAAAAGCTCCCTGCACCAAACTCCCTTTAAGAAATATCACATTTTAACAATTCCTAACGTGTTCGTAACAACACGTAACTCTAGAAACACGAGCTAAAGGCCGTCATATGTCCACAGTCTGACTGTCAATACAGGATCAATATCATCCATAAAGACACAGTGTATACTGATCAATATCATCCATAAAGATACAGTGTATACTGATCAATATCATCAATAAAGATACAGTGTGTACTGATCAATATCATCCATAAAGATACAGTGTATACTGATCAATATCATCAATAAAGATACAGTGTGTACTGATCAATATCATCCATAAAGATACAGTGTATACTGATCAATATCATCCATAAAGATACAGTGTATACTGATCAATATCATCCATAAAGACACAGGGTATACTGATCAACCTCCACTGTCTCTGTTTGTTTGTTGTTGTTGTTGTTGTTGTTGTTGTCTCAGGTGGAGGAGGAGCGTTGGAGCTTCAGACAGCAGCTGACTGACAGCAGATCCGCAGACACCACAGAAGAACGCCTGAAGAGCAGAGTGAAGGAGCTGGAGGACCAGGTGAGCTCACCACAGAAGAAGAGCGTCAGCTGTTATTGAGCCGTCAGGTGGATGCTGATGATGTCACTGTCTCCTCCCCTCAGGTGAGTCAGCTGCAGCTCTCATTGGCTGTCGACCAGCAGCAGAGGGCGGAGTTTATCCAGCAGTCCTCCAGGAACAGCCAATGGCTGCTCTCTCTGAGGCACGACCTCGCCGACTCGCTGGACGCCGTCACGCGCCGTCCGGTCCCGTCCGTCCTGGAGACCGAGACGCAGCGATTGGACCGCAGTCTGAGGGAGGAGGAGCTTAGGATGTCCCTGAGCCAATCGTAACGCCTGAAAGATAAAAACTGTGAACTGACCAAAACCAGCTGCAGCCTGTCGCCATGGAAACGGCTCAGGTGTTAGAGAGCTGCCTTGTGATTGGCTGTTGGGGTCTGAACAGAAACTGAACACAGTTATTAAAGTTACTGCACTCACAGACCAGCTCGGATAAGCTGATTGATTACTGACACATTATTGATCCGTTCTGTGTCCACCAAATGTTTGCGGACTTATTTATTGTCTGTTTGTATTTATATTGTATTTTATTTCTGTCAGACCTCTGAGCCACAATGCACTACATTTCCCATAATCCTTCGGTCTGAGCTTATGTGAGACAGTGGAGGTCAGTAAACACATCTTCAGTAATATTAATAACAAACACTTTATTTTGGTGTTTCTTTGTGTTTAAGTGGTAATTGTTGAAGGATAAATGATTAACTGTTAATTAATTTCACTCTCTGCCCCACATTGAAGCATTTTAGTGGCCATGTGTCTCACATTTAACGCTGGTTGACTTTTCCAACAAATGTTCACTCTTCAGGACACAAAGTTAAATTAAAATCAACTGATAAATGTTTGCAGATTGAAGCAGCTGAACACTGACATAGGGAGCAATACAAATTCATTAAAAACAATACATTTCACTATAATTGTAGCTGTATGATTATCCTCTGTCCATTATATATACAGTCCATGGTACCTTCAGAAACCTGGAGAATCTCCTAAACTCCTGATTTATTTAGCTACAGCCTGTCAGTCTGGAGTTTTAACTTGTTTCAGTGGAAGTGGATCTGGTTCTGACCTTCACTCTGACCATCAGTGGAGTTCAGGCTAAAGATTCTGGAGTTCACTACTGTCAGCACGGTCTTTTAAAGAACTCAAATCAGGCACTGCTGGGATTCAAACCCAGGATCTCCTATTTACTAGACAGGCACTTTAACCAACTAAGCCGCAGTGCCAGTTGTTGCTAAAACAATTCAATTCAATTCAATTTTATTTGTATAGCGCCAATTCATAACAGAAGTTATCTCAGGACACTTTTCAAATAGAGCAGGTCTAGACCGAACTCTTTATAACATTATTTACAGAGACCCAACAGTACCACCATGAGCAAGACCTTGGAGACAAGGGCAAGGAAACACTGCCTGTTAAAAGACAGAAACCTAGGACAGATCCTCCGGCTCTAGGTGGGTGGTCGTCTGTCTCGACAGAGAGAGAGAGAGAGAGAGACAGACAGACAGACAGGTGCACAGCAACAACAGTATTGGCAATGGCAATCTAGCAGGACCATGGCAGGAGGCTCCACCAGGATCGATAAGAACCTGCGAGACGAGAAAGCACAAGAACTCCGGGGAAGAAGTGAAGTTAGTAACATGCATTAATGGAACATGAATGAGTGCAGAAAGAGAGAGGAAGGGACTATGACATAATGTTAGTCTAGGCCTATAGCAGCATAACTAAGGGATGGTTCAGGACTCACCTTGAGCGTTCTGAATTAATTGGAGCGTTTTAATGGACTTATTGGGGCAACCTGATAATAAAGAGTTGCAGTAATCCAGCCTTGAAGTAACAAATGCATGGATTAGTTTTTCTGCATCTGTCGTAAATGAAACGTAAATGAAAGAAGGCAGTCCTAGAGGTCTGCTTTATGTGGGAATTAAATGACAAATCCTGATCAAAGATAACTCCAAGATTCCTGACAGTGGTGCTAGAGGCCAAGTTAATGCCATCTAGAGTAACTATATCTTTAGACAATGAGTCTCTAAGGTTTTTGGGGCCAAGAACAAGAATTTCGTTTTTTTCTGAGTTTAACATCAGAAAATTGCAGGTCATCCAGGATTTTATGTCCTTAAGACATGTTTGTAATTTAGATAATTGATTAATTTCATCGGGCTTGATTGATAGATATAACTGCGTATCATCTGCATAACAGTAAAAGTTAATGGAGTGATTCCTAATAATGTTGCCTAAAGGGAACAGAACCTTGTGGAACTCCATGACTAACTGTAGTATTTATTGAAGATTCATCGTTAACATGTACAAACTGCGAGTGATCTTATAAATATGACTTCAACCAGCTTAGTGCGGTTCCTTTAATGCCAATTTGATGCTCAAGTCTCTGTAAAAGAATATCATGGTCAATGGTGTCAAATGCAGCACTAAGATCTAATAATACAAGTACAGAGACAAGTCCATTGTCAGAAGCAATCAGAAGGTCATTATTAACTTTAACCAGAGCTGTCTCTGTGCTGTGATGAACTCTAAATCCTGACTGAAAATCCTCAAATAAACTATTGTTATGTAGAAAGTCACACAACTCTTTGGCGACTACTTTCTCCAGAATCTTAGAGAGGAAGGGGAGGTTAGAAATCGGTCTATAGTTGGCTAAAACCCCTGGGTCAAGAGTGGACTTTTTAAGAAGGGGTTTAATTACAGCTACTTTAAAGGACTGTGGTACATATCCTGATAATAAAGAAAGATTAATCATATCCAGTAAAGAAGTGCCAATTAAGGGTACGACTTCTTTAAGCAGCCTAGTTGGGATCGGGTCTAATAGACAGGTTGATGGCTTCGATGAAGAAATGATTGAAGTTAACTGATGAAGATTGATAGCAGAATAACAGTCTAAATATATATCTAAGTTTACATTGGCAGAAGTCCCTGAACTTGGAGAGCCACTGATAACTGTTGATGGCAGTTGGTGATTAATTTTTTCTCTAATAGTAATAATTTTATTATAGAAGAAGGTCATGAAGTCGTTGGTACTTAAGTTTATGGGGATATGTGGCTCAATAGAGCTGTGACTCTCTGTCAGCCTGGCTACAGTGCTGAAGAGGAACCTAGGGTTATTCTTATTTTCTTC